TCTAGAAGATCTTGACTGCGCTTTTCACAAACATGCGAAGGCCGCCTTCACAATTGCGTTTTTCGCTGCCGTGAATCATAATTACGCCAAGCAACGAACCTTGAAACATAAAAACACACAAAACGGATCAAAATCCGCCAATGACAAATCACAAACCATGACCTTTTGAACCCGTTGAAGTAAAGTATTGTTTCCTAAGAGGTCCGTTAAGACGATTGACGGCAGCGAAAAACGCAATCGTCAGTTGGCTTTTGAACTTCAGAATTCGCATGTTTATGAAAAGCCCAGTAAAAGTCAAAACAGGGGCAGTTATGCGCAGGCCCAGAGCCCGAACCATTTGTGCGGAAAACCACTCGGTGATTCTGGGGAGAATTCAAATAGAAGACATAGAACAGTTCGTCCTGGTGGAATATTTCGGGAAAAGGTAATACTTTCTGAGATATATATATATATATATTACTTTTTTCTTCGCTTTTGCTGGAATTCCTGAAAATTTCTGTTCTATCTGTCCGCAATTATCAGTGCCAGATTATTTCCGAGAGGTAAACGCAATAATGCCCAAGATGGCGGATTCAAGACTCGTTACTCTTCCAAACCGTTTGTGACGTAACAGATGTTTTATTCTTGTCGCCATTATTAACAGACTTCTTACAACACAACTGTAGCTCTCTAGGTGAGAAATGATTTACGGTTTGGTCGCCGATAATTGCGTTTTACTTTTACTTTCACGATTCGTGTTTTTGAGGTTATGGCCCAGGAAACATCTGCATCCAAAACTTCGGATCAACTGACACGACTGAATGTGTTCAGTTTTTTTGGTGAGAAAAATTGCAGTTCCATTTCCCCAAAAAGAAAAAACAAACAACAACGAAAATTCCTTTCAAATATGGTAAGCAATCCCAGTCTCGCCAGGGAAGAAGAACTAATTAATTAATGGAACAAAGATTACGTCCTTTGTTCGGCTAACAAACTCGTAATTCATAAAACAAACCTGGAGAGGTTGAGTGATTTAATATCGCCTAGAGAAACGACATTCTGACAATGCCAGATGTTAACACCACAAGCTAAAGTTCAGACTTAACTCCTGGCATAATCAGGCGCCCTAGCTTAAGAATAACTTACCTGGTGTCCTAAAAGCGTAATCCGACTTTGAAAGCTTTTAGAAAACTATTAGCAAACAAATCATTACTTTAGAATCTACGAATCGTTCTCGCACTCCACTTTGTAAATAATTTTGTATAGTTTTTATTTGTTTCAAGTTTTTAATTGCAAATAGCTTCTATATTGCCTCGTTTTATATTTTAATAATCTCTTACTCTATTTATTTTATTTCATTCGTAGTGGTACACCTGTAAACTAGCTGGTGACGTTTGTTAAACTAAACCATATAATGAAGTGTACACGTACTAGTTTAAATAAAGTACTCTATTGTCAGTGAAGTAATTATACAAGTGCCTTTTTTTGGAATGGCAGTACTCAAATTAGCCTGCCGGACACAGACGTATTTCCGGTCATCGCTTCTCTCCACCAGATGAGTAACGTATGCGAACCCGAGCGGCAAAACGAATTTCCGTGACGTAAAACTTTTGTTTTGATGTTGGCCAATCAGATGAAAGGATAGAATACAACTCGAGTGAATCCTCGCGACTTTGCTCGCTGCCGTGTCCTGGATTTTGGCGAGAGTTACTAAATACGCTTTGTAACGTAGATTTCACGACTATAACAAGGTTTCCTGTGAAGTTGAATGCAACAACAACAACAAGCAACGACCGGAAATACGTCCGTGTCCGCAGGATATCATACTCAAATACGGTGTAATGCGAAAAAGACTAATAATGGTCAAACGATGAGGTATCCATAAAACAATTATACCTTCGTTCAATACCAGACAAAACTGCATGAGTGCATTTTCAGCGGCTAAATGTTCACTTATCCTGTTCCTCACAAAAGATTTATATATGAAAGTCACCACGGTAAAAATTCATACCATTTCCAAAAAAAGTTGGCACAGTGTTCCAACCAGTGGCATCAGTTTCTCGTTCCCAGAGCCAGTTTAATTTTTTTTCCTTCAATCAAACAGTATATACGTTGCTCACACAGACTGGTAGCTTGTGTACAGAGGTCCCCCTCCCCTCAGAAAACAATCTCTTCCCTATTTTTTTTTTAAGGTGAGGGGTCATCTGTACACAGGCTAACGGACTGGCTCACCGTAGGAACTACTACTCAGTCATTCATTACACACTGAATTACTATGGTGGCAAGGCCTGCATAAAGTAAGAAAATACCTCTTACAAATAATTTGTAGTATTAACGATTTACAATGCAAGCCATACGTGTTTCGATTTCCACCGTTTCGTTATTCACGTGCGTACGTAAGAATGAAATAGAAGCAGTATGGAATAGTATGGAAGGTCTCGCGTAACGTAAAAGTTGAACCTCGCTCAATTTTTAGGTTTACGCGCCACCTTCCATACATTACTATTTTATTTAGGTACGTAAAGAATTACGTGACAGTGTAAATCCACCCTTGCATTGGTTGTTCTGTCATTGTTCAACAAAAACGAAACGCACCATTACTAGTCTTCATAGCCAATAACATCACGCCCTAACCGGACAGACGACCGATAACATCGCGACTTAATTGACCAATCAGTTCAATAATACCATCCACTGACTTGATACAAGTCACTTCGACTCTGAAGATGATTATCACACAGGTTGTCGAAATGTCAGTAGGGACTTAAAGATCCAACGACGCGGCGGCAATGAGAACGTCGCTTAAAAAATTTACTTTCTTTCAGTCTTTATCGCAATTATTCCTACCCACTTACTTTGTCAAATGTAGGCGAACCCTCCTGGAGTTGAATTCCTAGGCACGATATCCAAGTACAGAAAAAGAAATAAAACTTCGTCGTTGCTTGTTTACGTCCTCCATAAACGCGAAATTAGGCATGTTCACGTGGTAGTCGTGCAAAAACGGGCAGAGAAATTTACAAAAAATCGTGATGCACGTGCAAAGTTGTTGTTTTGCTAAGTCCCTAGTCACTGTTAACAACAACAGTCCTACTCAGGACTACGTTCACCCGGACGATCAAACTCAACCTAGTTATGAAATGACTCCTGGGTTCAAACCTTTCACCGTTTTGAATGGAATTCAGTCAATGGAAGGAAACTAATAAATGTCGTTCGATTATCCTCCATTCAAACGGAAAGCTGTCCCAGCTATACCATTTCTAGTGGAAAATCTGTTGCATAGAATCCCTTTTCTTCTAGTAAGCATTTTCATGGCGCATAAATTTTACTGAAAACTGTATACTATTACTCACTCTTTTTAAATTAACGCTCCGGAAACGCTCTGACTATTTCTTCTCGCTCATGAAACGTTGATATCAATAAAACATTCAATGTTTAAATAGGTAAAGGCTAAAAAAAACTATCAAGGCTGAAGCACACTATCACAAAAATTAAAAACAACAACAACAACAAATCAAACAATCACTTCAAATCTAGGCGTGTACTATTTGTAATCTTGTAGACTATATCCATTTTCTGGTGCCGGACTGTCGTCCTCACTCATCATGTCTTGGGGTGAAACGATCCTATTCTGTTGAGATAGTAAGACAGCAATTACTGGGAATGAAATCGTCGTTTTACCCATTGATTAGGTGGAAATCTGTCCGTGCTAACTTGAAGTGCAGTTTGTTTAACATTTTCCAGAACGACCGATTGCTTACCTACGCAAGAAACAAAATCACTAGAATCATACATGCTTTTAAAGTTGTTATCAAACTTGGAAACAATTTCCGATTCAAAATAGTTGGTGACTGATACACATACGCTAACTGTCACAATTACTTTCAAAAGCGTCTTTATTTAGAGTGCATTGAATATTCAATGTCCTAGGGTCGGTTTTCGTACAATTGCAGAGACAATTTCTCAAAAATGATAAATCAAGATGTATCTGCCATGTTATAAGTACCTGACAAAAAAGTCATAACCCTAGGCATTGAGTGACGTACTTTTCGCGATTTGCGTGTGTTTCTCGCCAAAAAGCGTCAAACTGTTTCACTTTTTTTAAATAGTGAAGAAGCCGTTTTTCTCTCATCCACCTCATGGCTTGGTGAAGAGATTCACTGGCGCTTTCCCCACGGATAAGATGCTCATAGAAATGACTCATGAACTGCTTTGTTGCTTTGTCTTCTATTGCCCACAATGCCACCAACACCGAGCGTGCACCGGACCCTAAGAAAGCACGAGCAATTCCAACCACTCTCTCGGCTCTGATCTGTCCGCGCGCACTATGACAACAGCTAAGGACTACCAGTTTAGCTCGCAGTCGAACTTGTGAGATATCGGCCATTGTCAACAGGTAGTCTTCTTCTTGTGGAGTCCTATTCATAAAAGGCGGAGGGGCAAGAACAATTTCTCCTCTTTCATCGTTACCGCGAGCAGCAAAATGAATAAGACTGACTCAACTTATTCTTTGGAGAACTGCCTCCTTCATGGCTTCCTCTCCTAGTAGAGTATGAGCTCCGAGCAATCGTCCAATCATCTCTGCTTCTTCTCTTGCAAAAGGCAATCTGCCCGGGGTATAAACTTTTCCATTGTGGCACACCTCACCAACAACAGGGTCCCTCACTACCAGTACACCAGTCTGACTGTGATAGTCTACTGGACAGTCCTGAATGAGCTTGAGGGTTGTAAGAGAGGGAACGATACGGATCCTGAAGGTTTCTGACAAATATTTCTCATTCTCATCCACCAAGGCTGAAAATGGAACTTTGAACAACAAGCGATCAGGAACAATGATGATTTCGCCTTCATCAAGTAAGTGAGCCACAGGAGCGATGATCATTTTGTAAAAATCAGCAAAAGTGGGATCCCGTTGCTGGTTCTCTTCTTCAATCATAAGGCGAAAATCCGGGGTATCGTGTTCGCGAGATGACTTGGGTGTTGAATCGTCATCGTTGAGAAGAAACCACGATCGATCTTCGCACTGCTCATCCTTCCCTGGTAAAAAAATGAAGTTTTCGGAAAGTTGCGTACGCAAAAAGATCAAGCACTTCCACTTTGCGCCCTTTTTCCGAAAAGCAGTCATTGATGTCTACTTGTCGAAAAAGTATTGGCTTCTCCGCTTTTAGGATCCACAGAAACAGATGCTGTCTATGATATGAAATATATAGACAAGTACAATTTCTTTCTTTCTCCATGATTTTGCCAATCTCTATCCATGTCTGTGGACTGACTGATCTTTGTTTTTCTAGACAGTATCGAGTTGCCATCAAGTCTGATAGGGCTCTAGCTCGTCCAAGTTCTACAACAGATAGAGCTTCATTACGACTTCCAGTTTCACAGTACAATGCGCTTAGTACCAAGTAGCAACTGGCGTGCCTGTCAGTAAAGGATAGCTTAAATTTGTCATTATCTCTCAGGAAACTTCGCATGTACTCCAGCTTACTAACAGTGGAAAACAGATGTGATCTAGCTCCATTTACATCCCCTTCAAACAACTTAAGCGTTGTGAGGTTACAGTGGGCGTTTAACTCGACTTCACAGAATCCAGACTTTTCACTCAGCAATAGTGCTTTTTTGAAGTATTCTTTGGACTTGCCAAATTCTTTAAGATGCAGAAACACCATTCCAAGGTTTCCGTAATCAGTTGCTTCTCCTTTTTTGTCTCCAGTTTCTTTTCTGATTGCAAGTGCTTTCGAGTGAAATTCTTCAGCCTTGTCGTATTCGCCGATAAAGCAATACATGTTCCCTAAGTTTCCGAGATCTACTGCTTCTTCTCGTCTAAGGCCAAGTTCTTTGCTGATTTTAAGCGAGTTTTCATGATATTCTTTGGCCGTGAGGTAATCCCCGCGAAACCGAAACACAACTTGCCAAGGATTCCGCAAGCAGCTCCTTCTACTTCTCTGTAACCATTTTTTTTACTTTCCTCAATAGCTGTTTCGAGGTACTCTTCTGCTTTGGCATATATACTCACCGATGTGAAAATACACATTTCCTAGGGTGACATAATGTGCGATTTCTTCTCGAATGTTGCCACTTGCTTTGGAGATAGCAAGTGATCTCTGAACATATTCTTCAGCCATTCCATGTTTACCGGTGTCTTGAAACAGATTTCCTAAGCGTCTGGAACAATCGGCTTCTTCTTCCTTGTTGCCGACTTCCGCCGCGGCCAAAAGTGCCTTTTTAAGGTACTTTTCAGTCTTATCACGTTCATTAAGAGAATTAAACAGAATTCCTAGGCATTTGTGACAAAATCCTTTCTTTTCCCTTTCACCAATATCCATCATGACGCTAGCTGCTTTTTCATAAAGCTCTATTGCTACTTCGTATCTACTTTGTTTCTTATTTAATTGCGCCAGATAAAAGGTCAGTTCTCCTTCATAGGCTTTTTCGCCAATCACGCGGAGGAAAGCCAGAACCTTATGGCCGCATTCTATCATATCTGGGTCACGGTAATCTCCGATCTGACGATAACTACTGAACATTAGCTCGTATATCATTCTGTAAGAAATTTTGACGTATAAGTTTCTTTTTCCCAGGATTCCTCTGTTAAGGAGAACTAAGCATTCTCTGCTTAACTTGATGCAACTTAAAGCACGATCAGTGTTGAGAAGAAAAGTAGCAATGAGAGCTACAATGTTGATTACTGTGATGCCCGGAGTAAGTTCGTCAAAGCTGTCCATGACAGTGTTCTGTATGGGACGAATTGAAATGAAGCTGAAAATCCTGCAGCAGTCTTATTTAGGCCCGGTTCAAAAGTCGCACCTGTGATCATATGAAATGCGACGTTTGAACCGGATCTAACAGCGCGTAACAAAGACACAATACTTCATTAGTCTGCACTGCAGCCGTTTTCTTCTGGTGCACGCCAAATGTTTTAGACTTTCTTAAAGCAGGCCGTTTCTTGCGCGCGACTTCGTCTCCAGCTTTCGCTCCTTTTGGCGAGCGTCCCTCGAGCTTTCGGCGCTCACGCAGTCGATTTGTGGTAAGTCTACGAATGTTTTTGTTCGCTCGCGTAACCGCCACTTTGAAACCGCCGTATCGAATTCCAAAAACATTGAGGGATTGGGGCTTTCCCTAAGGGTTGCTATTTCCGTAATGAAATCCAAGATGACGGCTATAACAATATGAACATCAACAACCAACTCTCGCCAGCCCAAAAATTCCCCTGCATTGTAGGCTAATAATTTATTAGTATAATTCATTAGTATACCTACCACCACTCCTCTCGCCTTGTAGATAATTACGACGAACTAAGGGGCGACGAATTAAGCAACGGAGAATCATGAAGAATAATGAAGCAACCTTTAAAATTAAGTTGGGCTAGTTTGCCACTTTCCTTGTATGGAACTGAAGAATAAGCTATTCATGGAGCCATGATTATCTAATTAAAAGCTTATGTGATTGGTTTTAGAGATGAAAGCGAAACAACAGCTTGGATCCTATAAACCATTACACAGTCATTTGCTATTTTGAAGACAACGACTCAGGGTCTAGCTTAGTGATTTCTTTTATCTTACAGGTTCCCTTAATTGCATTGCGGACAAGGCATTGACATTTTTTGACATATCAAGAAGAAAAAGAAACTGAGTATGAAACTGATCGGAAAGCGAAAAATACTCTAGTGCGATCCTACCAAGGAAGAATAATATTGCAAATAGCTTCGGGCCATTGGCTTTGAAGTTTTAGGTAGTCTTTAAGCTAAGTTGTCCTAAATGTTTCCCTAACTGGGTATGAAAGTGATATAAACTGAAAATACTCAACTCCTATCGTCCTAAGGAAAAGTTGCAAATAGGTTCGGGCCATTGGTCAACGTTGTAGTTCTAATCTTATCGCTTTTCATACAGATTAAAAAACGGATGAAAGAAACTCTAGCTTTCCGAGAAACCGAAACAGGGAATTCAATGTTTACGACAGTCACTGACCCGGAACGTCCGTGACAATGGGGACAACGAAGCGAACAGTCCCCGTGAGAGTAAGCGCGGGAACAGGGGCGGATCTAGGGGGAGGGTGTAGGGGGTGCGCAGGGGGGGGGGGGGGGCCCCGAGATGACCTGCGGTTTTCTACTACAACTGGTATTCTGCAAAAAAAAAGACGATGTGGTTTATTGGTGTTGAAGTAGAGCAAGAGACGAGTGCACCCCCTCCTAAAAAAAATCCTGAATCCGCCCCTAGCGAAGCTTCAAAGGTTTTTCTTTCCCATTTATCAAACAAATGGGGAGGGGCCTTCAGAACCCAATGAGAACAGGAAATAAACTTTAGTCTGGATCATGCTAACTTTGAAGCTGTGTTCGGCAGATGTTTTGAGCGCACAATAGAGCAGTTTTGAATACATTCAGATTCATAGTAGGCCCCGAGGCTAAGCGGTGTAACCTAAAAGGAATCGCATTGACATTGAAATTGTCCTTGTAGATGCTAATGGGACGTAACCTTCATAAGTACGTTGAGTATGATCGTCCGGGTGAACGTAGTCCTGAAGAGGACTGTTGTTGTTGACAGTGACTGACGTTTCGAAAACCTGTGCGTTAGTCATCTTCAGAGTTTTACATGCAGGTTTTAGTACTAAAAAGTCGCGGAAGTCTGGGAACGAGTACTCATCGGTAATCTCCACAAAAATCCAAAATGGCCGATAAGGATCAAGAATCGAACCCGATATGATGATAGACAAGCATCGAAACAACCCTTATTAACGCCGCAATTTGTGCCCCCATAGGGTTTCGGCCAGACGCCGGAACCGGAGGAGGCACTCTAAATTCCCAAGCGTAGAGAAGGATCGTTTTTTTCGTTGCATTGGTAATATGCGAAATCTTTTCGATTCAAACCAGGCGAACCAAGAAACCAGGCGCGCAAGGTAGTCCGGGTTAATTTTCTAGCGTGCGTGCAAGGCGGTCTTGGGTAATCCTGGTTCAGCATGCGTGCAAGGTGGTGTTGGGAAATTCTGGAAACATGTCGTTCACCGGTTAGCATTAGATTCTATTCTTCAGAGCCACCTTCCCCTCTTAGCTACACTTACATGAAATTTCTAAGTCTCTTCAAATTTCTACTCTTCTAATCTTTTCTAGGTCCCTTCAATTATTTTTTAGAAAAAAACAAGGAGGTTGAATGTGGCATAAGAGGAATTCGAATCCGCGGTCGTAGCACAGGTAACCCAGGCTCTGTGATATTATCACATTACGGTTTCATAAAAATTACAGTGTTTGTATAGGGTAAAAATACAACCCTAAAATTAGTAGGAAATACTGAATAAAAGTCAATGAAACTTACTCTGCAGTTAGTTGTTGTTGTCCTTAAGGATCAAACGATGTTTCATGATAACTTGCTCAGATTCACGAGATGGCATCTCGGCCGCCACGCTCCCTTTCCACCACAACTTTTTCCACGAAATTCGAATTCCAACGGTAAATAAACATGCTAGTATCGTAGAATTAAGATAGCATCAGGTATAGAAACCAATGAAGCTTTCCTTGCTAGAGAAACGAATCCCGCAGACTTTGACAAACTCGAATGATATAATCCAAAAAGGCCGAAAGTCGATGTGCCGAAGAGGTCTGGCCAGATCAACGCGCGGCCAAGAAAGGACCTGGGTACTTTACAAATCAAATCCATCGCTTGTGTCCTGGGGTGACCTTTCTGGGGACCAATAGATAGCTTGCCCAAAGTTAGCCTACCCTGCTGGAAATACATTTGCTCGAGGGCTATTGTTCACTTGAGCTATAATCGCGAGTCGGCCAAACAAAACCAGTGCACGCTCCAAAATGAGAAAAAAAAAGAAACATGTAAAAGTTGATGGCTGCAAAAAAACTCCACGTTTCAAAGATTAATTGGCCACGACGGCAGTAACAACCATAACAACAAAAATAAACAACAATACTATAGATTAGCAAAACATCGTATCACTTGGCACGTGCATCAATGTTCAATCATAGCGTTATCAATTGTAATCGTAGTGTGCTCAACATTTATGCTCACAGATGGCTAATGTCGTTTGCTCATTTCATTACAAGTCTTAAATTTTTCTATGAGCTCACGAATCGGTCCGTCCAAAAAACGCTCACAATCATCTTTTAGTGTGGACCTACCGTGAACGGTGTATGGATGCCGTGTATACGGAACATTGCCATGGTCCAGTTTTCAAACATGAATTTCCCTCTTTAACATCGATCGTCCCTTCGTAAAGTGATAGAACTGAAATGCGTTTCAATCCGGGTTCTTTTATGGTAACGACAGAAAACACTCAGGGGACGGGCGACAAGTGAAACGAGCTTTAGACAATTTCATTTTATTTTTTTTTTGCAACTGTTGTGAAAAAATCTATAATAATAACAATAAAAAAAACCTGAAAACAGGTTAAAAACAAACAACAACAAACTGAGCTTTAGACAAGAGGCTTAACTACGCGATCGATTTTTCCTGTTTTTTAGGCGATAACATGGGTCTAATAACTTCACACAAGAATATTGTTTTTGTTCCCAAACCATAACTTTTTTTAAAAAAACCAGAAGATTAGCAACAACGCAGGAGCGGGGGGAGGGGGGGGGGGGGGGCCGGATCCGCCCGCCTTTTTGTTTTGGGGTCGCCAGGGGGGGGGGCCCCTCCTTTTTTTTTTGGGGCGGCCGGCGTGGGGGCCAAAAAATTAATTTTTTATTCATTAAAAACATTCCTCTGTTTCTTTTTTGCTTAGGCCCC